GAGATTACAGTGTAATGTTGGTATTCATCATTATAATCTTTCATCTTTTTTCACTTTTTTCAGCTAAATAATTTTTTCTATACTTTTTATACCTACATAATTAACATTTGTCTTGTTAAATTTCCTTCAAAGCAGCTTCAATCACTTATAGTATTCTATAACAACATCCATCATTTTAAACCATTCCTAAATGGATAATTACTTGTTTCTAATATTTGCTATTTTCAGTAACAGTAAACAGACATATTTGCATGCCTGTTTCCCTAGGATAAATTCCACTAAATAAAATTTTTCAGGACAGAAGAATGAATTTAGTTAAGTTATACAAATCACAAAATTGATTTCCAGAGAGTGTACCAATTTTACTCTCTCACCATCAGTATAAGACAATGCTGTCAGACTGCATTCTCAGCACTCTGAGAATCCACCTTTCTTCTTATCATTCCAGTTTGATCAGAAAAACATGGAATCACATTGGTTTTCATAATTTTTATTTCTTTGATTACTAATGAGGTCAAATATCTTGTTATATTTTTATTGGCCATCTGAGTTTCTCCTCTTGAGAACTATCTGTACATGACTTCGCGCCATGTTACTCTCAACACAGTATGTCAAGATGCTTTTATAACCAGAGCCTTCTGACATAGTAAAGTGAGAATGTTTTCAACTAGTCATATATAAATTATGAAAATCAATACAGATTATGTAAACCAAATCTTAGACAAAATCTTTGTCTCCAAATTTAAGAAATAAAGTGAAAAAAAAAAAACATTAAACGCTTTGTGCTGATTATTTGCCACTGGCCCCTGGATCCATTCTCTGTCCAGCTCAGCACTGACCTGTGCCCTGGGAGACTGACCTCTACACAATGCACCACCCACTCTCCCCTGCTCTCTGGCCCCTGGTTGGGTTAGGCCAATGAGAGTTACCAATAGGAGGTCTAGTGCGGGAGGAGAGAGGTTGAAGTCTTTAGGCCTCTCCCTTCTTTCCTGTTTTCCCTCAGTTCTGGCATGGTTACTCAGGCTGCAGCTTCTGTTTAGCAGGTCCCCATTCATGGTTCCAACTCTCCACTGGGCTCAATGACTCTTGTTTCTTCCCCGTGACCCATTCGCCTGCAGAGGTAATGGCTTCCTTTTGTTGGTAGTCCAAAGGTGCCTCAGTCACCCTTGTTTCTTTTAAATCTGGCTGCTCTTCTGCAAATAGTACCTTCATTAAGATACCTCTTCATGCAGCCCCAGCTGAATGTGTTTGGTTCTCACTAGATCCCTGACAGATACACTAATTCAATTCACTGTGTGTGTGTGTGTGTGTGTGAGGAAGATTGGCCCTGAGCTAACATCTGTGCCAATCTCCCTCTATTTTGTATGTGGGACAATGCTGCAGCGTGACTTGACGAGTGGTGCTATGTCCACACCCGGGATCTGAACCTGCAAATCCCGGGCTGCTGGAGCGGAGCACGTGAACTTAACAACTATACCACCAGGCGGGCCTGTAAATTCACTATTTGATCTATGTTTAGGAATGTCTCTGATATTTGATTCATCAAAAGCATGTTATTCAGGGGCCGGCTCCGTGGCTGAGTGGTTAAGTTCGCGTGCTCCACTGCGGCAGCCCAGGGCTCAGATCCTGGGCGCAGACATGGCACCGCTGGTCAGGCAACGTTGAGGCGCGTCCCACATCCCACAACTAGAAGGACCTGCAACTAAGATATACAACTGTGTACAGGGGGGTTTATTCAATATTAGCTGATTAATTACTTTGAATCTGGCCCAATGGTGGGGTCTGGGAACACATAAGTCACCTTTCCTAATTTGGGTGGGTTTTTTGTTTAAAAGTTAAAAGCCTTTAACATTTCACAATTTCAACAGCATCAAATATGATGACATTTAAAACTTTCTCTAACCTACATCTTCCTTACCTATCTCCTCTGAATCTCCAACTCCTTAACTGTGTGTCCTCTGCCTCGTAAGCGCATCTCTCTGTCCACTGAAGATGTCAGATTTCTTTATCACCTTCGAATCCTTGCTCACTACGGTCTCTTTGCACTTGCCGGGACAATTTCACCTTGTTTCTCTCTCTCTAAAACTGACCTAATGTTTAACATACTGTTCTTACCTCCCCTTTCAAGTTTGACCACAGTGTGGTGGCTCTTCTCTCGCATTTTCCGTCTCTGTCATTAATCTGGCCTCGATCAGTGTAGGAGCATGTTTCATGCTGATATCTTGGGTGTCTTTGAAGTCAGAGAATGGGTTTTTTATTTTTTAGATTCTTTACCAAATTTGGCATGAGATTGAGCACACCATAGTGTTGACGAAGACCTTTTTAGCTAATGTAAGAAGGGACTTAGCTACTCTATAAAATAATAAAATATGAATAGAAACTATTATCCTATAAGAATTAATCAGTATTTAGAAGAGAATTTAAGGGGGTAAACTGAGACTTAGTGTAATATCTTAAGTATATGATTTAATTTTCAAAGATACGTGAGCTGGTACTTTGTTTAAAATAATTAATAAAAGGGAAATTCTCCAGTCCTCAAATGCAGTCAGAATCACACACATGTTATTGACGTAGCTATTTGTATGGAAATTGACTAACACAATCTGGAGGCTATTTAATAGAGTTATGATTTTGAGATTCAAGTGAGGCCCATAATAAAAGTAGCTAAAATATCACAAGAAATCTTGACCTAAGTTTTCTCCTTCAAATTCCAGAGCACACATCTGTGTGTGTTCAGAATCTGGAGGGTACAAGAGTCTCACATTCACCGCTGAGGCTTGACTCAGGCCAGGCTCCAGCAGATGGGCTACAACCAGCAGCCTCTGCGGCTGCCTCCTAACAACTTCCTAAGCAGCTCTCACAACTGCGTAGTGAAATGCTGGAGGGCTCACGGCAAGCGCAGCTGTGCTCCCAGACCCAGCTGTGCACCAGAAAAACTACTGGGGGGGGGGGGGCCGCTATACTAGCAAATGCTACCCATTGCGCTAGCCCAAACTAATGGGACCCATAACTTGGTTTGCATAAGCAAAGCACCTTTGAGGTTAGTAGCAAAGGGCATAAATCCATAAAGTTGTGTTATGAGCTGGAGAATTAAGTGCATTTTCTCTTTCCCACACAATAAACAGCCCCCCGCCCCCCCACACACAGACACATACACACATACAAACACACACTTGCTCTATTTTGTTTTGTTTCTTTGTGAAGTTAATCTCACTGGATTGTCACTTGAAATGACACTAGTTTGAGTTTGCATTGACCCTGAAGGAAGCTTTACATGCCGATCAACTATATCAAAACAGAAGGAAAAAAACGGCAAGGAGAAAGCAAGCTTAATCTTTCCTTGTATGTAGCCAAGAAAGCACAAACTAAAATTGCACAGATAATAACCACTAACTCAGCCTTTAAGTAACAACTAACTTTTCTGGATAATTACTGAATCAGCATTCCTTCAACAAAATTTTTACTGTTTATCTACAATGTGCAAAGCACTTAGAAACAAATCTTAGATTTTTTTTTTCCATTGATGAGGAGAAAGAGCATTAAAAAGAAGCCTGGTAAAAACCATTCTTTTTTAATTAGTGAATTTAAAGGCACAATCTGTGTGACTTTGTGAAAAGATGCCTTCCAGATTCATTTTTATATGTTTTAGGCAAAGTTATTTAGACTTTGTTAACAAACTTTCAGTTCATATCTGTGCCGCTACTAGTGTAAAAAAAAGTCATATATGGCATATTGATGCTTTGGAAAGTTTAAAAGAAATGCTTAATTTATTCCGAAGCTTGCATTTTTAAAAGAAATAAAATAACAGTATTTTACTTGGATTTCCTTCATAAGAGAATCCCAAACACATTGCTAATTTTAACTATTTTTCTCAAAATGTTTAAAGTGATAACTTAAATAATTGTTTAATATGTAGGTACCATGATACATATAACTCAAATGATATAAATGTTGGAAAAGTAAATGGAGATATTAGGTTAGTAAGATTTGAAAATAAAAGCTAAATAAAATTTGCCTTTTTTTTCTACCTGGTAACTATTCTCCATGCTTTCCTAGAATGCCGTCTGTCATTTGTCTTGCCTAAAATTGCTGTGATGACAATTACTGGCTCTGTCTTGCTGTGCTGTGTGCTGAGGCCTCATTTGGTTTTTGTCTGAGGTGTGTGAATAGTGTGGGTGGGAAGCTGCCTATATGAGACTACGAAGAGCTCCCTCTCAGAACACACCTGCCAGTCTCTGTGCAAAGAGTCATGCAGAGAGTCCTGCTTTAAAAGTCAAATCCATTTAACAAAAGATTGATAGTAACTAGTGGAATATTCAGCTATACACATGGAGAAAACATTCACTTGGCAGTACCTGCATTTGATATCTCTCAATTGACATTAGCATTTTTTCTGTATTCTGTACACACATGTAGGTAGTGTTGCCATTATGAGTCCATCGGGCTTTCCATTAACAAAAATATTCTCTTTCCTGCCTTTTCCTGGCACAGGTTTCTTCCTCCTCTCTTCGCACATACATATTCTTCCAGTAACTGATTCTACAACCCTGGCAGCGAGAATCTGAAACGTTTAGTGTGAGATTTAAAAGAAAGATGGACGCGCAAGTGCCAGTCCTTTTGCCCTAAAGGACAGAATTAAAAGTCATATATCACTCTTCCTACAAAAGTCTCTACCCATTAAAGTTATTTTAAACACAGCCATCTATATCAGAAATAACCATGCTGCTACGCATCAGGATGTAGGTGAGATTTGAAGAGCAGACTCGTGTAACTTTGGCAATAACTTAAACTGCGTGCTGCTCTGTGAATGAGGGCATGAGGAGGATGAATATTTTGACACAACTGAAATAAAAAACCTTGAACTTTTGCCCCTCTCTCGGACAGATGATGCAATAGGAGAATATGATGACGGTCAGTAAGGAAAAGAGATGTTTACAACTGGATCTTCATTTAAACAGAAGAAAATGAGAACAGTTATCACCCATGCTCTCCACACTTACCTGGGAATTGTAGTCACTTTTGGCTCCCAATTCGCAATTGGGCGCTTTCCCGTCCTGTGGACAGGATGCTCTGGGAGCGCTCATAGTGGAAACCAAAGACTGCACTTCAGCAAAACTCCACATAAACACAAATAGTAACATAAGGTGCTGAAAGGAGAGAGAGGACAGCAAAGACACAAAATGATTAGCAAATGAGGCAAGTAAAGAAAGGTCAACTGACATGAAGCATTAGCCTGGAGGACAGAGACCTTGACAATTTTAATTGACGTCTCACTAACGTGGAGATTGTGACCACATAGTCTTGATGTGTGTTTAGAAATAAAAAAGAAACAGCCTACTATATATATATTTATATACACGCACATATATACACATACATAGTACATATACACTATATATGTGTGTATGTATATATATTATATAGATGCTCTAGGTATGTACGTATTTATACTTTGCTAAAAGAAAGACTTCCGTAATGGTTATAAGTGCTAAGTACTTAGAATGGATTACCATAAAGGGTGTTGTAAGTTCATTTTTAGAATTCTTTTTTTAGTTTCTTATCTGCTTGAATGGATTTAGGTCCAAAGAGAGGGATGAAGTAGCTAAACTCCAGTGCTTCCAGTTAAACTATTAGGGATAAAACAATGTTCTGAATCATAAGATCCTGAAGGAAGATCTTACCATGAGCCTCCAGTCAAGACAGGAAAGCAGATGCTCTTGCCATGCGTGGGTCCAAAGGACAATGTAATTCAAATGGCTTGGTCCCTTAAGGACTTACTTTCCACACTGTTCATAAGAAACCAGAATAGACTCAAGCAATTTAATTAGTGTACTGGGACACTTGGAAGCCAAAATCAACATATGCAAATTTCCTTCTGCATTTTGTAGAAAAATAACTCTTCTAATGGTTAAGAGTAGCTTATAGGTCTGAAAGTTTCCAGCCAATTCTTTTGTCTTTCACCCTAATTCATCACTAGTTTGCCAACCCTATTAAAACACTTTCACATCTAAATGTAAAGGCCCATATCCTGACATTGATCCAAGGGCGGAACTCCCATTGAAGTCGATGAGAGTGTTGCACAGAAATCAATGACAGGATATGGACCTCGAGGCTGGACCATCTCTCCTCTGGAAACTTTTTTTCATTGACACTCAGAAATTTGAGAGTATTACAAGAAACAAGACAGAGAAAGCGGAGCATTTACAGATGAGTTCCACGGGTCTCTGTTCCTTCTCTGGCAAAGTTTATTGTGGGTTAGATGCCAACTGTATTTAAAAAGGGAGAGACTGTAAAAGTGACCACGTCAGCAGTGATGTGCTTGCCTAGAATTTCATCTCTCACCACGCAGTTGAGCAGCCCTGTCTTGATCACAGCCTCTGTTTTGGCAAAGACGCTGCCTTACAAAGTGAATGAGTTCTTTTTCCAGCTCCAATGTCTGAATTGGCAATCCTAAAGCATTTTACAAAGTATACTTCCTATTCAAAACTTGAATAATATTGAACATTTTATAGTCTAATTTCTAATAAACCATAAACGCTAGAAATAATCCTTTAGACTTAAACTGAGTCTTCTTTCCGGTGAATGCAAAGCATTTCAGGCATATTAAAGGTAATTCTTTCCTGTTTGCAAACAGTCTTGAACGCAGTTTGCAAAGATCTTTAAGGAAATGCAAACATCTTAAAATAAAATAAACTTAAAATTCATTCCTTCCTCATCACGGTTATATCCCCGTTCTCTTTACTTACAAATATGAGGGAAATAGAAAGTTATAATACATGTTTGGTCTACTTCAAGTTTTAAGTAAGTCGAGGATTAGTTTTCTAAAAGCACTGCTTTGATTTATTTTGCTGATCATACCATTGACCCACGTTTAAAGTGAAAAAGCCAACTGCTCACTTTGGCCTTGATTTCCTTCTAAGTCAGTTGGATGGACTGCCTAGCATCAGGGGTTCTCAAAGTTTAGCTTGCTTTCCAATGACCTGGAGCCACGTTCAAACACCAGCTGCTGGGCCCCACCCCCACAGCGTCTGACCCTGGTCTGGGGGAGGACTGAGAATTTGCATTTTGAACAATTTCCCGGGTGATGCTGATTGTGCTGGTCTAAGACCGCATTTTAGATCCACTGGTCAATGGACCTCAACCTTTAGCAGGTATAAGCATCAAGACTGAGAAGCTTGTTTAGATTGCGGTGCTCGTCTCTCTTCACTCCTAATGAGATTAAACAGGTCTGAGGTGGGGTTGGGAGCTCTCGTTTTAAAAAACACTGCGGCTAATTCTGATGAGATTGATTTTAGAACACTCTGAGAAAAAATACCTTCTGAGTCCCTTCCAGCTGTGAAGTAGTATGATTCTTTTTTTATATGTCAAATTAGGTAGGCTAAGACAAATAGCCTAATAGAAAACAGACATCAGAGACAAAGACATCACAGAGGCAATGACATAGCTGCCCTACACAGGTAACATTTTAGATTCTATGTTTTGTGGCAAAAAACAACTACCAGACCACCTGCTATGCTAAATTTATCCTTTGTAGCATTTTATGCATCTGTAGCTATATAATTGCTTATTTGTAAGAATGTATATAATGTCTATCTTGTAAATAGCAGTGAGATGACCAGGTTCCATCATTTTAAAAATTCATCATATATCTACTAGGTCTAACATATTGTAACACATTTGGGTCGGGGCCTCTTTCTTTGGCATGGGAACAGCAGATGCCCTCATCCCTACTGCATGGAGAAATCCTATAGATAGAAAGAAAACTCAGTAGGATTGATAAAATGACCCTGGAGTATGTTGATTAAGTATCTCCTTAGCATGGTATAGTGCAGCTCTGTACTTCATTGACAAGATTCTACAAACATACTAGGATTGCAGAATCTAATTCTCCTAATATATACCCATTACATTGAGGAAAGCTAATTTATGTGAAAACTATATACTTTGCCTCACCGAAAGCTCTTGTTTGCGAGACCAGAAAATCATTCAACTCACCTGGCAGCTTTGGCTCTTCACAAGAGCAGCATTTCTGAGGATTGTAGTAGTAGTGAAATAAAGGTTTCCTTCCAAGTTCAAGGTACCCGTCCTTCTGGTATGTCACTGAGCACTGAGAAAATAACAAAATTTTCTGTTTCAGCTCTTCATTTGCAAAGGGAAAATATTGTTGGATTCGGTGATTTCTAGGGAAGGCCTCTTTCAGTTCCAAATTTTTTATGATCTGTGATTTAGAACTACAAAGCTGACCCAAATGTCTATTATGTCAAAAATGCCATATGATACATAGTTTATATTTGATATTTAATTGATATTATAAATGATTTCATTCTTACTCAATCTCCTAAATGCCTTCATGTTTCTTTTTATCTGAAAACAAAGTATTCCTCTAAGGGTAGATCTCATGTTAGATGCTCTTACCAAAATACAAAAAAACAATAATAGAAAAGAAATATTTCTCTTTAAAATACGACAAAATTAAGGTATTCCTCTGTTTTGACCATTTATTAGCATCCTTCACATTATGATTATCTAGTAATTAGTTTTTTTCATTAATCAGAAAGATTGGGTATAGGAAATTAATTTCTCTGATTATTTGTATATTTTTCATATCCTACATAGGTCCCTGTGAGTGCTACAATTGTAACCCTTTATAATTGGCAGACATTAATTACTGAAATTGTACTAGAATTTCCATATAATTTTATATCAGAACGACATGAATACTGAATACATTTATCACGTTTAGAACGCCAATGGGAGAAATTAATTTCCAACTATTAAAATATGCAAGAACTTGTATGAATGTGATAAGAATGAACTATGCAGATTCCTGAGTCCTATGTCACAAGTAATATGTCTGAGTATGTCCAAGTATATTAAATCTAGAGCAGCTGTTCCCCATTCACTAAAATTAAACCAGTCCTCTCTTACTAGAGGGTTCAGAAGAGAGGGAAAAGGCAAGAACCGAATCATGAAAGAGCTCCCAGCCAGGGGTGGAGAGCACAGAGCAAGACGTGATCACAGTTGTCCTCAACAAGCTCATCTTGCAGACACCCCTATTTCTGCACTTCTCCCACACATCCAGGCCTATAACCCCAGAGGCATTTTCAACTCCCTACTCCATGGCACACATTCTATAGATTCAACCTCCGTAATCTCTTTTTAGATCAGGATTTCTTAACTCGGGGTCAAGAAAGGCCTCACGATGTCTGTACACCTGATGAAATTGCATGCAAATTGCACACGCATGTATGGACACCCTTTCTGAGGAATGGGTCTATAGCTTTTATCAGATTCTCAAAGAGGGCCGTCACCCAAAAAGTGTAAGGGTCACTGGACTAAACTGTTTCATCCTTTTTCAATTCTACTGCTCCCAAGTAAAGGCAGGTCCAGTGCTCCTTTTGAATATAAGGGTTCCTCCCATTCAGTTCCTGGCTCCAGTTTCTCGTCATCTTAATCTATCCCATATGGCGCTGCCAAAGGCACCTTCCTGGAGCTCACAGTCAGTCATGTTGATTCCTCCTGTTCACAAACTTCTAGGGTTCCCCCACTGCCCACTGAATCAAGGCAAATTCCTGGGTGCAGACACCATGTCTTATTCATCTTTGTATCCCCAGTTGTCGCTAGCTGAAGGGACTCTTGCTTTTGGCTCCTCCTGCTGTCAGAAACCATGTGTCCCAACTCCAACCTGTCTTTCCAGTGTTATCTGCTCTATATCCTTTCATGACGTCTATGCTCCAACCAGTTCAATCGTTTGACCTCATCAGTTCTCTGAATGCAATCCATGTTTTTCCTCTTTCCTCGCATCTTTTAATTATAGCTTTTTCCCTTTGCTGGGGTTGCTTTCCTGACCTCTCCCCATCCAGCTCATGTCTGCTGATGAAGTCTTAGCCATCCTTCAATGCTTAAAAAGGTGTTCCTTCATGAAACCTTATAAGCTCTGCCTCCCTGGGAGAAATCATCCCTTTCTTCTCTGAACTCTTTGCATTTCTTAGGACTTTACATTTATTAAGCACATAGCACTAAATTTTAATATTGAATAAATCGCATATAGTTTACATACTACTTTACACTGTACACTTTTTAAAGGCAAAGGTTCTGTTTTGTTCATTTTTCTCTTCCCCACAATACCTAGCACAGTCTCGCACATCATGATATTCAACAAATATTTGCTGAAGAAATAATGAAAGAATAAATGAAGAGTCATCGATTCTTCAGATGTTTCAGATTATGATGAGAGGTCAGCTCCAGTTTTACTGATGAAGGATGTGAGGTTCAGAGAGGCAGAGAGGGCGACAGAAGGTCACAGAATCAGCGAGCAGTCAATCTGGGCTGGAGCTCAGCTATTTGGACTTGATCTAAGTCTCTGCCTACCACATAAGGATGCCCCTTTTTTGGACAAGAAAATTGCACTTAGATGTGTTTCTTTTAAGCAACTATAATCTTTTGTTTTTATAATTCTAAATATTGGCTTTACCATTTATTATCTGTGTGACTGAGTATCTTCCTTAGTTTTCCCATCTGTAAATTGAGGGTCTAGATTTAGTGCTCTCTATGCTTCCTTCTGGCTGTGAAGTTGGAATTGCTTCTGCCACCTCATCCCTCTTTTTTCCAGCAAAGAAGGTAACTTCCCCAGGTTTTGCCAAGTTTCGTAGTGCCCACTTCCCCTGTGTATTCAAAGTGAAGCCTGCTTATCAGTATGTGGTAATGACCAACACAAGAGGTGGGACCAAAGAATTCACATGTAAAAGATCAGGCTTGATAAAGATAAGAAATTAAAGCTGCATTTTTTAAAAAATGAAAGATCTTTAAAAATGTTTGAAATTCAAATAATTAGGGTCAAAAAGGTTAATCTACAGATCTCATACTTAACTCATGAGGTTCTATTATGGTATGCTCCCATGTTTCTTCATTGTGACAAATATGTATGGCAAAACAAAGTTTGAATCCAAATGGCTCTGACTTCCACCCCAACAATCAAAAGTGAAACTATTTCTCTTTCATTCTTAATATTCCAAATATGAATAGAAAATTATTCTTCTCCCCAACCTTGGGCTAAATGGCAATCCATTCTAAGTCTTAGGTATATCTTTAAGGTACATGTTTTCAGATATGAATCTGTGCTAACGAGTTACGCACACAGCAAGCTGACCCACTCTATCTCCACTTTGTTTCCCACACACTGCATTGTGGATTCTTCCAATTTATATGTTCTACCCTAAAAGGCATTCTCGCTCCACTCAATTCCAACACAAAGTCCTGGGCAAAATCTGGCATTGCTATGGTGTTCTGTAATTCCCTATGCTGTAGAGTTCCTTACAGTGAATCTGATGTGAGATACTTACAGCTCAAAAAGGCCCACATTCATTCCTCAATAATGAATGTTTTTCATGTGCATTGTCTTCAAAACATGCTTTGCCCTCTTTAAGGGCAGCATACACTAGAGGGAACAATATGGTCCGTGTTCCAACAAGAGAAGGCAGAATCCTATAAGGAAGAGTTACTGGATGAGATGAGCACTGTAAAGAAACAAACTGGCCCATTATTAGTCAAGAGACCACGGGAATCCCTTTAAGGTCTCTAGATTTAGCAGAGGGAACAAAGTCTCATGCTTTCTAAATTTGTTTCACAAATTTATTACTTTCTCTCAGGATACATTGATTTTCAGTTGACTTGATATCAGGGTCTTTAAATCAAATCTAACTTATTGTGTTTTTCTGTCATATAGAAGCTTGAGCAAAACAATAGCAGGTGATCATAAGGGAAATTAATCCTCAATGTCATTTTAAAGTACAAACAGCCTTATAACTCAAAAGACTTCCCCATTCATAGTTGCTATTTTGCTATTATATTTTCCCAGAAGAGCAAACAATAATGAAGATAATGTGATAACTTATTAAGAAAAGGTGGTGTCTATGCACACACAGGTAGCTTAAGGTTTTCTTCATATACATATACGTGTGTATATATATATATATATGCATATGAATATACATATGGGTATTTTGGATAAATTTAACCCTCTTTAAAGTATAAGTATATATGCATGTGTATATGGATATATATGTAATACATGGTTTATAAATTTGTGTAAATGCACACACATATCACAAACGGAAGAAAATAACTATGTTTTGAGCTATGATAGACCCTATGCCAACTGATGGTGCTTTTTAAGCCTTATAATACAGATTCACTTATTGTCACTCTCTTACAGTTGCTGTTACATAGTTGCAGGACTGTCATTCAATTCTGATTTGTACTAGAAATTGTACAAGAAACCAAGACCTTAGCACCTGGTGACGTGGTGCATTAAAGGTAGTTGTGGCAATCACATAAAGCAACTCCTGGAGCTTTGGGGTGATGATGTTGAGGTACAAGAAACTTAAGAAGTCCTTTGAGGGCTCTGCAAGAGCTAGTAGGACCTCACCCCAGACAGATGGAATGCCCCGCCCACCACTGAAACCCAGCTACCCAAGAAAACTGAAGAGACAGCATTCCCACTCTCTGAAGCCCCCAAGCTTTCATCCTCTGTATTCTTCCAGCTTCTCAAAATAAATTATAACATGCATAAAATATGTATATTAACATGCCCATTCTTGTCAAACCTCTGCAGGTTGAATTCACTACTGGGTTTAATTAAGAACACATTAGTAGCAATGCAATCCCTGTGAAAGTTCCAACAACATTTTTCACAGAAATAGAACAAAGAATCCTAAAATGTATATGGAACAACAAAAGACTGTGAACAGCCAAAGGAATTCTGAGAGAAAGAATAAAGCTGGAGGTATCACACTCCCTGATTTCAAAATATACTACAAAGTTTCAGTAACCAAAACAGCATGGTACTGGCAAAAAAACAGACACACAGATCAATGGAACAGAATTGAAAGCCTAGAAATAAACCCACACATCCATGGGCAGCTAATTTTCCACAAAGGAGCCAAGAATATACAATGGAGAAAAGGAAGTCTCTTCAATAAATGGTGCTGGGAAACCTGGACAGCCACATGTAAAAGAGTAAAAGTAGACCATTATCTTACACCATGCACAAAAATTAACTCAAAATGGATTAAAGACTTGAATGTAAAACCTGAAACCATGAAACTG